AGAGAGAGAGAGAGAGAGAGAGAGAGAGAGAGAGAGAGAGAGAGAGACAGAAATGGATAGATATGGATATAGATAAAAATAAATATAAAACTATACATGTATACAAATCACTGCACAGCCTTTTCCCTCGGCTCACAGTCCATAGTCCCTTCTTTCTTATCAGTGTCTATCCCAGTTGACAACAGGCAGGCGGCAAGGAACACCCTGGACAGGTCACCAGTCCATCACAGTGCCACGGAGAGACATGTGGTCAGATGAAACCAAAATAGAGCTTTTTGGTAAAAACTCAACTTGTCGTGTTTAGAGGAAGAAGAATACTGAGTTTCATCCAAAGAACACTATACCTACAGTAAAGCTTGGGGGTGGAAACATCGTGCTTTGGGGTTACTTTTCTGCAAAGGGGACAGGATGACTTATCCATGTTTAGTTAAGAATGAAAGGGAACATCTTTGTAAGATTTGAAGACAAAACCTCTTCCCATCAGTGAGAGCACTGTAGATGGAATGTAGCTTGGTCTTCCAGCATGACAATGATCCCAAACTCAGGCAACGAAGGAGTGGGTTTGTGAAAAGTACAGTATTTCAAGGTGCTGGAGTGGCCCAGCCAGTCTCCAGACCTTAGCCCTATACAAAGGTGGAAGGAGTTGAAAACCTATGTTGCCCAGCAACAGCCCCAAAGCATCAATGCTCTAGAGCAGATCTGCCTGGAGGAATGGATCGAAATACCAGCTGTGTGCAAACCATATCAAATCTGGACAGCAAAAGGCAAGAATACCATCAAAGAATCCGACACAAGCATCCTCAAACTGCTGTTTTACAAAAGTCCACCAGATGGCTTCAGTGAGCTCCTGTGATTGTAAATCTCAAACAGCATCCAAAATATTCTCAGCCAAATGAAGTTTCAGCTGAGCAGAGGTGGAGTATTACTGTCAGAATGAATTACTTTAACACGTTTTAATTAGATAAAATGTATTTCAAAAGGACTGAGACAAATACTAAAGTGAGGAAACATCAGAGGACTTCATCCATCAGATCCCAAATGCAACATGTTTCTGCACTAAATATACACTAAATCGACATCCCCAGTTTAAATGCAGTACACTTATAGTTTGGAACATCAGTATAAAATGTTGTAAGACACGTGTTTAAACCTTATGCTTTAAAATTCAATTTATTTGTTTCTCATAAATAATGTACATACATATATATATATATATATATATATATATACTGTATATATGTACAGTAATGAATAAATAAATGTATGCAGTACTTGGTCCACCTTTTGTTATCTTTCACAATTCACATTCAGCCGGGAAGCTTCCAATGCTGTTTCTAAAAGTATTTAGCCTTCAAGTATGATATTTTTAACCTGATACTTAATCTTTGGTAGTAATTTATACACTACTGTTTCATGTTATTTCTAAAAAAGATGCTAGCATACAAAATTACACAGAAGAGGGATTTGGTATGCTAAATGGAATAAAACTGGGTCAACTGTTATTATTGGATGCTCATACCAAGAGATTTGCAGTGACATAAAGAGCTTAACAACAAAAATGTGTTTATTTAGTTATTAAAAAACTGAAACAATTAAACTGTATTTTTTTCACACATACTATCAGAGCCTGAAACTTAACATTTTGTACAGCTCATATTTGGTTCTGATAACATCTTCAACTCTTATTGTTTTTTATTATGTTCCACAGAGTTTCTTATTGTTCTCATAGACTATTTTGGGTTAAACTAAATCCTACATGGACTTTGACTTGGCTCTTCCATCAGTTCTACTACTCAAGGTAAGTGGATGTTTCCAGGCCTTTCTGCCTGTGCTCCTTCAAATCGTGAGGTGTGTGCCATTCTACAATTGATTTCAAAGAACACTGACCACACTGGGAACACCTAATGTCTTTCCCTTTGTGTCATCACTCATCCAGCATGATGAGGTGCTTCAATCCAGACTCTTTTATTTGTCATGAGCTGTCAGTGATTTACCAATGTGTGGTACTAACGATTGTCCTACTTATATCAACAACTGACTGGGCTTTTCTGACAATTCGGAAATGCATCAAGCAGAATATTCAACCATCAAAACCATCTTTGCTTTTGAAGAACGTAAGCAAATTCATAGAATTCGACATCTTAATTAACAAAAAGAGTTGTTGATATCTTTGATAGAAATAGCAATTATATTCATGTGTAAAAAATATAATTTCAGTGTATTTACCATTACAGAAACACAAAAAACTATTATGATGAATAAAAATGATGATGTTGCGTGACATAAACCTTACATTATCTATTTGTCTAATACACTGACAATAACTATCATTTAAAGACCTTCTACACTACGGAATAAACAGAAAACCCTAATGTATAGGGTTAAAATAATTTCACAAATATACAATAAAAACGCTTACAATACGGGCACAAAAAAAACTTACTTGTTTTGACTGAACAGTCTTTGACACATATTTTGCTTATGAGCTAATGTTGCTCATTTTAAGTTTTTCTAAAAAGATCAGCAAATTTTTTCTTCTTTAACAGATTTTACAAAACACAGGCACACAATGGACCACATGCGTACTAAAAAGGCCAGGTGAGGTAAAGACTTGAATGGTCATGAGCAGTTTTTCCAATTAAATGATTTAAAATGAATTAAAGTCTGTGTTTAAGCCTGTTAAAAAACTTGGTGTGATTTTTTATTCATTGATCCAATTAAGCTCAGGCACTGTTTTCCACTGCCAAGCACACACACACAAACACAAATTGATATGAAGTACATGCACATGAGCACACTGCTGCATCCATTCAAATCTCCTCCACCATGTTTCTCATAAACTGGTCTGGGCAGGTTCTAGACAGTTAACACTCACCTTACTACTGCATAACCAATATTCTGGAGCCTTGGAACTATAAAATGGTGGCAAAATGCAGAAGAACGTTAAACACAGAGAAAAAGAGGTAAAGACTGACAAACCACAACAGAAGAGAGATGGCTGAAAGAAGAACCAGTGGAAGCAAATTCTTTATGACAGGTGAGATACTGTCTGATCCACACAGCCCTATGGCTCAATTTGTGCAGCTCAACATTTAGCATATCACCAGAGAAGACTTTAATTCCTCATTAAAGTCACAATTTACTATCAGTAATGAAAAGATGTTTAATGTAAAGACATAGAAGACAATTTTCATGTCTGGCAGGCAGATTAAAAAAAGTCAAAAAAGTTTTTAAAATCAAACAAGGAATGGCACATCAGAAGTGTATTTTAAAAAATGTATGTCTTTATTTGTTTTACCAATTCAGTTGATTGTAGGGCATGATAACATAGAACATTTCTAAATGTATTAATCTGACACCACAAGTCACAGTAAAATGATGAAGAACATCTCTGCTGTTAGCTCATGCATCTTGTTTTTTTTCTCCAGTGGTGCTTATGGTGACGATGTGCAGTGCCATCCCCATCAGTGACCTGCTAGACCGGGCCTCCCAGCGCTCTGATAAAATGCACTCAATCAGCACTCTACTCAACCAGGAGCTGGTTAGTGCTTAACTTAAGTGTTTGTCTGTGTGTGTGTATTTAGCAAATAAGTCCAACAGAACACAGATATATCTGCTTACCGATCAAATCAGAGATTTTATGATGTCATCCTATTACATAAATTTACAGAACAAAATTTCATTTTTGTTTCTCAACAAGGCGAATGATGTACAGTATGTCTCAGCTGACTTTTGTCTGATGTGATTTACTGATTTTTCTTCTTCAGGACTCTCATCTCCTTCCAATAGGCCGGGTCACCATGCCTCGCCCAGCTTCATGCCACACATCCTCACTACAGACTCCTAATGACAAAAACCAAGCTCTACAAGAATCTGTACGTTATGCTGCTCTTTCATTCCTATTTTCCCCATTGTTTGGTATGACCTTTCTCTCTTTAACACTCTCTTGGAAACACAATTCTCCTTTGTCTCTTCATGTTTTTAACATAACGTGTCTCTGAATCCTCTCTTAGGAGTCAGATCTAATGTCTTTGGCTCGCTCCCTGCTCCAAGCCTGGGTGGACCCCCTTGTTGTCCTGTCCCACACTGCTAGCACTCTACCTCACCCAGCCCAAAGTACCATAAACAACAAGATCCAGGAGCTGCAGGAGCACTTCAAAAGCCTGGGAGATGGCTTGGATATTCTATCCAACAGGGTAGGCAAAATTGCTGTTATTTCTATTTAAATATTTATCACTTATACTTTTAACGGTGCACCTGCTTTTTCCCTTAGATGGGCCCAACTGCTCAGACCATCTCCTTCTTGCCATATAGGGGAGGCACTGATCTAGGCCAGGACAAGATATCCAAACTAGTCAACTTCAACTTCCTGCTGTCCTGCCTCCGCCGGGACTCCCATAAGATCGACAGCTTTCTGAAAGTCCTACGCTGTCGGGCAGCAAGGACGCACCCTGACCTGTGCTGAGGCATTAAGCATGGGAAAATTTGCTTGCACTGCATAGTAGTAACTTTCTTAGATATTGTCATATTTGCTGATCAGCAGAGAATGGAGATGGGGAATAGTTACATAACATACAAAGAAGAATAATATTTTTTACCTTTTGGGCATCGCATCACAGCCACAAATATCAATCTGTCAAAATAGATGCTGAGATTTTAATATAATAAATAAGAAATGTATGGAGGAAGTTTGTTGAGATGAATGTTTTAGTAGTAAGCCCAAGTTAGTTCTTTCTCAGATGGTTCCAGCTGGTCTGGTCTCAGGGACTGACAAAACTCTAGTCAATTGTGGTAAATTTGTGAGTAATGTCTATTGTGACTCCTCCCTATCTTCTCCCTCCCCTGAACAGCATTGTGTCAATGTCAAGCTGCTAAATAAGCTTTGCAGAAGTAGTACAGGGTGACTTCTTCATCCCAGCTAACACAAGTTATTTGTTGACACACTGCACTTTAGATTTAATCTTACTATGAGTGCAATGTCAATTGATTTAACCATTTCTTTCAAATCTGTTTATCAATAAAATACTTTCTTGTGCATTAAATTTGGTCTCAGCTTTTTCCCCCTATAACTATTATATTCTTCCAGGAAAGCACCAGCATTAACATACTTGTTTATCTAAATGACAGCTGTCTATAGTTGATCATCATGATTTTTGTCCCTTATGTCCGGCGACACCATAAATTCTGGACGGGGGATGGCTCAACATAATGTAAATGGTACACATAAATAAAAAGTGTTTGTAAATTATATTACTTTGAACCAGGACGACAGCCATTCACAAATTTAACAAACTGGCTTTGATTTTCATCATAATGTAATTATAACCATTGGAGCCCTGTGAGAAAGCGGCTCGCCAGCCCCCGTCTCACGTCAGAGGACGAGTAAGTAGAGGATTTGGAAAAAGGTGGTAAGAACCAGCGGACGACACAGTCCCAGTGAAAAACGTGTTGTGGTTTATTTACAGGTGCGATGGTGAAGACAAAAAAAAACAAACAAACAAAATACTTTCAAACAAAGAAAACAAAACCGGCCATTGCAGGCAATACAAAAAAATTACAGCCTAACCGCAAGCTGACATCAACTATAGTTTTTCAGAGCACTCTCACCAAGCCAACCACCAGCAGCCTCCCTGGCATTGTGAGTGGGCCCCTTAAATAGGCCCACCAATACACACCTAATTGGTAAAGCCCAACTCAACGGGAAACAAATCCCCAATAACGCCCGATTACCATTGTAATAAATAACATACAGCCCCTAGCATCACTCACCAAAACATCCAGAATTATAAAGACAATTGAACCATGCTACAAGTCCCAATTCATCTAATAATTACAATTACAATAGTTTTCCCCAACATTTACACCCCTGTCCCCACATAGTCTGTCCCCTGCCGTGGGAAAATTAATAAAAAGCTGGCTCCGATGCGGTACGTGTTTCCACACGGACCAGTTTATTGACGGACCAGGAACAAGAAGGTGTATGTTTGGCTGGGAAGTTTTATTGTCGACTACGGAATGTATGATAAAGCTGTTTGGTAAATAAAGTGTTAAATGGAAGGTGTTGTTGTAATATTTGAACTAGCGTAAATTACCGGGTGAATTGTTTGTAAATGCCGCCGCAACGACGGCCGGTCTGTGGTGCATGCTGGGAAATGTAGTGACGCTGTATGTGCTAGACGTGCGGCTACGGTTCGGGAATAGAGGGGGAAAACGGCTCCGTTTTCACAAGCCCATTTTGTAAACCTGAAAGAAATTAAGACAAACTGCTAGTGGGGCTGACAAAGCAATGTTGTTCTGTGAAAAATAATTGCTTTTAATTGAAATCACATGTATACTACCAATAGGAAATGTTTCAGTAGCCTGCCATTTGTAGTATAAGTTACCTACACTATTGTGTTGTGTTCTGTTTTCCTGACTAACCGATCTAATTGTCACAATGAATTTCAAATCCAGCCAACACACAAATTGGCACAGTATTGCCACACAATTACAAAACAATTGTCACAGTACAGTGGTTTTAGCAGCATATCTGGGCATGTTAATAAGTCATTTCTACAATACTCAGATGCATGCTTATATTTGAGAAACTGAGTTTAATTAAATACCTTGACTTTTGCGGCTGTTTTCAGAGAGAGAGACAGAATGTTTTGTAAGAAAATGTAACTAACAAACTAGTAAACAGGCTAAAAACTCTTGCTTCACATTCAAAGAGATCATTAATGACGCTTTTCAACTAATACCCACTCAGCATTGCACAGTTTTATATAGTATTTTTGCATTTCCTGTCAGGTCTGGCCCCACTGAACAACATTAGCACCTACTCGGCTGGGGTTCCATGCGGCCTGAATTGGGCCGATGGCAAACTGACGGGCGCTGATTGGCCACTGAGTCACATAATTCCATTGTGACACCTTTACTATATCATTGCCCATTCAAAAACTTAAACGTTTTTCGCAGCCCACTCCTTGGTGTTAACGGTCCAAGAGTTGAACATGGCCACATAGTTAACCCTTTAAAGCCTGATCAAAGAATACAACAAACAGATTTTTTTTGTTGTTGTTTGAATTCCTTATTTGGCCTTTTAAAAAAATATGTAAAAAGAAAAAACTGAAATAAATGTTTGAAATTGATAATTTCTTATTATGCGATAAATCAAGATTATTTTTTGTGTAGTCTTCTTTCCTCTGTTATCAGGTAGGCTATATCTGATTGTGTACATTATGATTTTTGGCAAAGTATTTACCACTAAATTATGCAAAAGGTGTCAGACGCAAAACATTTCAGAAACCGTATGTATCAAATATGACACATTTGGCATTACAGGGTTAAGAATTACTGTATCTGAGAAAGGAACGTGTTACCCTTCGAACTTTGTCAAAGTAACACAAAACATTGACCAAGTAACTTGGTCAATGTTTTGTGTTCAGTTGCAGAGGGTCACCTGTCATTAAGTCATGTGTTACTTATGGTAGCTGGTGATGAAGACAGTTATAGGGAGCAGGGAGAGGTTCTGAAGTCAGGTACGGTGAGCAATCATTTGTAGGGAAAAGCTGCAGCCTTCACCTGCTTTCCAGAGCACCGACCTCTTTATATGTCGCAGGTACATAAGGTAACTGAAAAAAAATCATTCTGATAACAAGTCTATACAAGCTACAATCTTTTTTGATGTACAGAGGTCGCATCTGTGCAGGACACTGAATAAGATGCTAGTGTAAGTTGCTTCAGCACTGGCTTTTCTTCTAAAAGATTCAAAGTATATTTTACAGTCAATGATAAGAGCTTGGATTCAAAGGATTAAAAAATCCTTTTTTTTTTTACTGCACAACCCTGTTTTTTAATTTAAACACAAGTCAAACAGACAGATACTTCTTCAGAATTGAGAAACGACCCTTCAGAGCAACAGCTTGTGCTGATCTTCTTCAGATAACAGTTGAAGGTGAGAAAAGTTTTGTTTATTCAGTTAGATTATAAATGTTCTCCATGAATCAGAATTCAGTGAATGTTCATTAATCTCTATTAAATAGTGAACTAATATTCATATTTGGAGTGTTTTAGAATATCTTTAAACATCTTGGCAGTCTTAATCTTTCCATTTTCTTGTAAATATTATTTCAAACCACAGCTTATGCAGGGAGCCCCAGAGTTAATATCTCAGGTGTTCTGAAGGAGAAGAAGACTGTCACGATCACCTGCTCAGCTTTCACTCCCTGTCCACACTACCCTACTGAATTTACCTGGAATCTCCAACAAACAGACAAATAGTGAAAAACACTGATGGAACCTTTAAAGTACAGGATTTAAACATTCTTTATAGAGGATTTTTATAATCAACAATTAAAATGCAGTTAGAAACAGAATGTGTATCAATAACACAAAATAGTTTAATCTCTTGGAAAATTGTTAAGCTGTATGTTAAAGACATCTTTTAAAAGAGGCTCAAGAAGTTTCCTTTTCAATCAGTTCAATTATATTGTTTTGTATTGTACATTTTAATTCTTATCTATCACATTTGTATTCACTATTATTGTTATGTATCTATTTGGTCAATTGGGGTTGGAGTGTGGTCCCTGCCCTGATCGGGGTAAAGAAAGCCACTCCGCCAGGGTCACTACTATAACATCCTCACTACGTTTGTGGAAATACATGAACACAACAATACCAGAGAGAGAAGTTTGTGAATTGATTAAAAAAGATGAGGTAAAACACATGTTTTAAATTAAAGAAAATTATGAAGGGATCCAAACTATATCCTTTATTCTTTTCATCTTAAAGCACACGTTTATTTTTTATTGATAATAATCAGTGCATTTGATTACCTTGTAGGCATATATAACACTGATTAGCTTTTTCTGAAGTTAACATTTAAAATCTAGGGCAAACGAGATGACAAAATGGGAGTAGACGCCCCAAAGGTCAATGAGAACAGAAGTCCAGGGCAAAAGTGATGGCATCAGAAGAAGGGAATAGGTTCCATGATGGTCAAACAGAATTGAAAACAAGATATGTGTGTTTAGAAGTGCTGTGCTCTCTGCAGGTCCTCTCCAGGCAGCAGACATGTGGAAGTGGTGAGAGTCAATGGAGATGGAGTCAGATAGGAGGATCAATAGGAGAGGAAGTCATCACCTTTTACAGTTACATTATATTAGTATGGTTCTGGGAAACAACAGTCAGTCTGAAAGACTTCATCAACCAACAGAGCACCCCTCCCCTCTCCTCAATATTTAGGCAATTTAGTTCTTTTTCATCACTGGAGAAAACATTTTGGATGTAACAGCGTCTCCTAGAGTCTATGAGAACGTCGGTTCCCGTAGCCTACTCGGTGTTGCTGGTTAGGCTTTCTCAGCTTCTCAGTTAGGAGAGAGCCTTTTTCGGGGCGAAGGGATAGCGGAGCTTCCCCGGACCGCCCAGCCCCAGTCAGCCTTCGTAAACCGACACCCGTTTGCCACCTTTTACCCCTTCTCTCTCTCTCTAAATGCGGTTGTTGGAGGCGTTCGTTCAGTTATCTTTGGATATGAAGAACAAACATAGCCAACACCCGCAGAAATCGGTGCCCGATCAAGTCGACGTGCCCAGCTTCGACGTCTCCCTTCAACAGCTCAACGACCTGCTGACGGACGAAAGCGGTTTTTACAACTGGCCGACCAAACACTTTCATGAGGTTTACCCGAGGATCTACGTCGGCAACGCGTGAGTCACTGATTTAGTCGTGAGAATTTTGTTTATGTTTACCTGCACAATAATGGAGGTAAATGTAAGCCTACATTAAACCTATCGCCCCCCCCATTCCTAGACTCATTAAGTTTACTTTTGACCTTTTTTCTAATTGAACAGATATAAATAAACCCCTCGTGCCTGTAATAACTTGGAGTAATTGGGTTAATTCAGTGGGGTTGTTAAAAATTAGGCTTGAAGCAATTTGGACTAATTCATTAAATTAATTGCTCCTTTAAACGTGGCAAATGGATTGAATTTCCTATTGTAATGTTGCGTTTGTGTGCATCCTCTACATAGGAATATTTGGCTGCTTGTTGTTTTTGGAAATAAACTGGGCAGGGTATGAGGTTGTAGTTAGATGTCATTTGTTTAATCCTGTTGATTGTTTCTTTTTCTGTTTTTGTTTTTGTTAGCGGAATAAGATGGCAACCTGTGCCACATTCAGAAAAAGGTGGGGTGGGGTTACAAGACTCCTGTTACCTTCTTGAAAGGAACAATCAGTGACTTATCTTTCATATTTAGTTTTCTACATTTGATTTTAGCATCTCATTACAACATGAGAAGCTGAGGGAAGTTGAATGAATCTCTCCCTTTTGAGACCAGAGCACCTATAGCTGTTTAATCTTTAAAGCCATACTTGTATACTTTCTGGGTTTAAACGGCACGACCCATGCATACTACTAGTTTTCACACTTAATCTTTTAGGAACATGAGTATCCACTGTCAGATTGCCTGAAAGCCAAACAAGGACAGGGACAGGGGGTGTGAGACAAAGCTGAAGAGAATAAATATAAGATAAAGTCTAATTCAAGACTACTGTGGGCATGCGTTAAACCACTCACGTTGAGGCAAATGATAGGCAAATGACCCAGAGGTTCCAGATATGTGATTCTTGTGAGGAAACTTTTTTCTTGGTCTTGCCACCTTGAAACAATGACACAATGTCTCTGTTCTTGCAGAGTATCAACCTTAAGAGTCACTGAAGAGATGCATGTTCTGAATGTTTCTATCTATCTATCTATCTATCTATCTATCTATCTATCTATCTATCTATCTATCTATCTATCT